ATATATATATATCGCTTGTGCTATCGAGCGTCTTTTACTCGTACTACTTATTAGATTATAAAAGCTTCGCGAGAGCGTTAAATACAAAAATATATATACTGCTTTACAACATGCCGTCTTGACAAATATATTTTACAATATTTTTAACTAAACGTTTTTTATGCAACTTAAACGAATATAATATAATATAGCTTATCTAATTTACTCTTAGGCTTCTAACATTCTTCAGAAGGTAAAAGACAAATATTTATAATCGGTTTCTTATAAGTATTATAAGTACTCTTACTCGTCTGAACAGTTAAAGTGCCTTTTCTTGCTGACGCTCGACACTCATTTTCAGTCAAAATAGGTCATGTGATCAAAATTGACGCTTGATATTTGTCAATTTTTATCACGTGACTTACTTTAACGCCGGAAATGAGCATCGGCTTGAAGAGATACCTTTATAGCGTATTTCTGCACTGGGTGCGAACTGAGTGCATATTCGATTAGACGAGAGCGTGTTTCACTGATAGCGTTTTCCACTGGGCCGCACTGAATATGCACCAAAAATTCATTCAGTGGCAGCAGCACTATACAAGGTTGCCGAAAGTGAGTTTTTTGCACTTCCAGCTAAACACGTATGTCGATCTTAGTGCGGTTTTATAATGTACATTTGCTGTTACAATTGATGATATAAAATATTGCTTTATGAAAGTATTTATGCAGGATACATACATATCTAGTACTATTTTGTAAATTATTGTTCTGGAAATACGGGAACAACTTTTAAAGGCTATAACATTAACATTATTACTGATATTAATATATCCTGGTAAAAAATTTTTCATGTATGATTATTACATAAATAGGGTAACTCTGGCAAACGCCGCGCTGAGATTTATGCCGCAGAAGTCAGAAAAAATAGAAGAAGTGGGAGTAATTTTTCCGCAACTATTTTGTTATTAACCTTTATGTTATATTGTGTTATATTAGTACTGCGTTATGATTTCAGTTTCTTATTGTTAATATACGAAATTATTGTGAGTTGAATCGATTTGTCTGTCGATGTGTCATCATAAATTAAAATGATTACTGTAGGACATGCAAAAGACTTAGTGATCATTTCGTGATACATGAGTGTAGAAGAATAGTAAATGTTATATAACAAAATACAAGTACTTTGTTCTTGTATTCTTTGTTTAGTTTGTTGTCTGTATATCCCACCTGTTTCGGATATATGGCATTTTTAGCGGACGGGATTTATACCCAAAGTATACAAAGACAGATTGAATTCAGTGCATTGCACTAAATGCAATAAATGCATTACATGAAATATGTATCTCATGTCATAACACTTGTAATACATGTGGGAAGATCGTAATTATTATTTATTACTTCATATACATATTTATTATTCTTATTCCTTAAGACTTTATAAGTTGTAACGCATTTTATAAGTTATTATGTCATTTT